ACCCACTTGAGTTGATCCCAAGAGCGCTTCCTTACCATGTCGAGACAACTAGAGTCACTGTTTTCCTAAATAAAAATATATTTCTAGAAAAGGAGTAACACTGTTAGGAAACCAGGAGGAAGGCAGTAAGGGTTTGCTTCACCGCGTCCACTCGAGGGATGTGGCCTCGGCCCCGCCTGTCAGCGTTTGTCTGTAGGATGATTTCACGTCTGATAGCCAAGGTCGCTTGCCTCATGGTCTACGGGAGGTGGCAAGTTGGACATGACAGACGAGGATGTCCCTGCGGTAAGGTAGCCAGCAACGCCAGGGCCTGCAAGAGAAAAAAAAACTGGCACCTAGTGGGCAGGGTCGTGCGAGGCGGCTAGACGGGAGTCTACCAGGGCTGCCTACGAGGAGAGGGTCCCATCACAGCCACGCGGCACCGCGTCATGGTGCTGCGTGACAAAGCTCAAAGTCACACTTGTTTGGAAATGGAGGGAGGGGAAAGAGGGAAGTACAATCTTCTATTCCTGGAAAATTCAACGTTTAAAAGGAAAAAAATCTCGGGCGCTGAAAGGTAATTATGTCCAGTGGAAAAAGTGGGAACCAACAGGAAAGAAACGCTACTCCCTCAGCCCGTCCTAAAGTCAGACCTGATGAAATTCCCAGCAGACGCTTCTATCACCACCAAAGGCGGCCACGTCATCGGTGGAGAGGAAGGCTGGACAGCACATGAGCACCTGCTGTCATGGGCTGTCGGGTCACACGAGGACACGGGGAGTGGCATCTAGATTTCAGTGTGATGTCTCCACAGGAAGCAGCCTTCTGCTGTGTGAGACCCTACAAACGCTGGCACTTCTCAGGGTGTCTGAGCACATCATGGCTTCAGTTCCCTTTCTTATATTATTTACAGACATTTAATTGAAGCAAAGATGGAATAAAGTCCTTGAAAAAGAGGCAGGAGCACAATACTGCACAAAAAGCAACACTGAGCTGAAACTGCAGGAAGTGCAGCTGAGGGGCGAGGGCCGACAGGGCGGTGGGAGCGGCATGCAGTGGGAAAATCGGTTCTCTACCTGCGTCAGAGCTACAGAGAGGTGAGCAAGCTGCCTGGCAGAGGGGGCTAGGGCCCGCTGAGGTGGAGGGGGCTGCTGCCAGTGAGGAGGGAAGGAGAGACACCTGAGGAGAAAAGAGAGGTAAGCGGATGGGAGGCTGAAGGAGTGCGCACAGCACTGATGGAAGACAGAGCACACAGCAGGGTCACCTGACAGCCGCCAGGACGCAGGACGGGACAGCGCCTGACGCCAACCAGCGGCCAGGTCTTGAAACCTGATCCCCGTTAGTGGGTCTGCAGCTGCCCTAGTCCACACCAAGTCTGACTCCCTGTCTTCCATCAACTGCTCAGGAAGTCTCAGAGGCCAAGGAGTGCCCTCTGACATTGTGACACACCTCCAACAACTCATCACTCTCTAAATAAAGTTCCATCAGTGCAGACTGAGTGGCTCGGGACAACTTCT